AACATTTTTCCTGATATCACAGTTCTCAGTAGTCCTTATTTTACTTCCTTTATGTGTTTTATCAATGAATGAATGGACCATGCAGATGACGGTTCCATTTTAGGTAGGATTTAAATTCATTGGAGTAGTCTTTAGGCATTTGGAAGGCTTCGGGATTTTCTGCGTTGCGTCGCTCAGCTTGTATGAACTGCTGACAGTGTTATATTAATACCTGACCTGTGTATTTCATACTCTTGCGTTGTTTGTCTAGAGGTCATCAGGTAAACACTGTCTATTGGGTATTGTATGTTCAATTGAAACTATTGGGAAAATTTTGTTTACGAAACGTGAAGGACATGTTGTGTTCGTAGTAGCTAATTAGCTACGAGCTATTACTAAAAAAGTCGTATTGTTGTCAAAAATCTTCTTTATAAAGGTTGAGAAATAAAAATAACTTCTTGGTAGGTACGTAGTATGAAACTGAACACCTGTTACTGGAGATCCACTTTATGGTGTGACATCAGTCTCTGTAATAAGGATTGTTCTCATCATTACGCTTAATTTGTTCCTTAAGTAACGGCCACACGACCTCATTCAGCAGTAAATATTCTGCATAATGAAGCTAACTACTCGTATGTAGTTACTTACGACTCAATATTAAGGACCTAATGAGCATAAATTAGGAGTTCCTACTGTCTACACATTTCCGTTTAGTTACGCACAAAAGAAGTACCGGGCACCGAATACTGAATCATTTAATCTTTCCGTATTGCCTGTAGAGCAATCTTTGGCTAATGTGTCCATTCTTATCGGGGCCCATAAGACACGAGCACGGACGAGGCTATAGGAAGCTTGCCGCCGCCCGTGCACTTATCCAATTTGCCGCTATTATGATTTATTGGTAGTGTACAAGTAGGCGCCTATGACCTAGACCGACTGCTTCGCGACCGAGCATGTCAGCGACGTTCACTAGGACATTAGCGGGATGTACAAGGAATTTTAGTATGGAGCAACTCTACCGGTAGTTGTCGGCAACCTTTATTCACTTGTTTCGACTAGAACAGAAGAATTCAACGTTGGTTACTAATTTTTGGGTATAGAAAAAGTCGTGTGCACGAGAACGTGATGAAAATTGTACTCGAATCAATCAACACCTGATATTTGCAGCTGAAATAAGTCACGTTTTTACATTGACCAGCAGATCTTGGCGTATAACTTTAGGTCAAAATAAATATTGTGATTTTTTTTTACAGATCGGAAATAAATACCTCCTTTAACAATTTTTGATCCCAACAATCTCTCACTTTGAGCACACCATCAATCAGCCATCACCATCTCACACCCATCAATTTTGTGCAATATTTATGAATTCATCGATACTTGGAAATTGTGAAACGTCTGTCTTGCGTCTTTAAATATTTGAACTACTCCGTTCCAGGTTTGAACAACATCGATGAAAATAGGTACCGGTAGATAGGTAAGTAGGTAGATACCCACAACTAGCTCGGACCGGATCTTATTGATTTCAACTTTACCGGACCAACATTCTAGTAGATTTCAAGGTCTAAAAGTGCACACTTGTAAATCAATAAACTTAACATTTGAGATCTTAATGACCTAAAGCGTTTGACTCACTTGCTGGGCGAGTGGTTGCAAAAAATATTACGTGAATTCCAAGCCAACATTAGGATTTGTGGGCAGTATTATAGGGCTTTTTGTTTTTAAAGGTCTATTTCAACACCCACAACTACTCGATACATTTAAATGGGTCATATTACATATTCAAATTACGTTCTACATTCAAATCTGGCACATAGTGGTTATCCAGACATTATGAAACAGGCTCAATAGACTAAATTGGCGAAAACTAGATGTAAAATAAGGAATAATGCCCAATTTTTAGCATAGCGTGCTTGAGACTGTGGAGTTACCTCGTCTAAGAGGTACGTTGGTAATCCGTTAAACATTCAATAAATCATATGCTAGTAACTATTTTTTACTCTATATGATTAACTTGTGAAGAATGTTTAAGATCATTGAACGAAAGACTTCCGCAATTATGCGTAAATTCTTCGAAACACTGAGATCTTCCTACGCACTGTGAGTTGTGACGTGGAAATTCGTGGTAAGGCACTTATCAAGAGCACATGACGAATTACTTATGATACAAATTGACAATTACCTACTTTAGTTTATCAGGTTTTCTATCGATGTTTTCCAATAAAAAAACTATACTTAGAATGTAAGTAATTTGAAAAGTGCCTACTTCAAAAGGCCACTAGTTAGTAGGTACTTGCTTTATAGGTTTCTTCTACGACAATTAATATTTTGTTTCACCTATATTTCATTCTCCTTTTAACTAAAAGAACAAGGTGCCAATTTCCGTAAGCGCTTAGAGCTGAATACGATCAACACGAGTACTGCGGTAAAACGCAAATTGGCTGCCGTTCATGTTTGAAGTCAAAATCTTATCAAAACAACATTAATTTGTGACGTGATAAACTCGCGATTAAGGAGTTAGTTTATGTTCGTAAGTCATTCAGCTCACACGAAATAATCTCGGGATTCAGAATGAAAATACTAATTTATTTACTAACCCCATACCTACCCAAATGTTATTCTCCACATTTTTTTCTTAACGTAAGCGTTAGCGGATCGTCGCTCAAGTTTTGTACGTGTTTGAAATTTTTAAAGCATTCGTTTCCGTCTGAATGTAGAAAATCTGATTAGATTTTTTTTTCTAGTAAGATATATTTTTCAGTTTTATAAATGAAAGGTGTAAAAGTAAAGTCATAACTATAGTAAGAAATTGCGCACGTGTCCCGTGTTTCACGCATGACGCACCGAACGCATGGCGAATGTGTGTGCACAATGCATGCTTAATTTTTAAAACAGTACGCCAGATATTGTATAGGTTTTATTAGTACAGGGTGTGCATTTTAATTCTTTTTAATCTTACGTACATTTGATGCCCTTTATAATTTATCTAAGCAATTATATTGATAGCCATTAAATTACGAAAACACGTAATTAAAATAACATTAATTTTCCAGTCATAAAACTGTCTATAAATAAATATGTATGAACCATCCTCTGTTTAATAATAATTAATATTATTATTGTATGAGTATAGTACTTCATTGTGCCTATTTCCTTCTCACACATTGGTAGGTAAACTCAAACAAATGCCAACCCATTTTATATCAAACTGTAATGATTAACATTACAATTTCACAATGGGAGGATTTTATCATCTGTACATTGTTTCGAAATATTGTAAGCACTTTGTTTGTTCAGAATCTGTATTATCTAGTGTAGTAACATTCCATGAATGGGTCATTCATGGTTTATTTTAGTGAATCAGATGTCCATACAAAGGACAAACAAACTGAATTAATGTATGGTACATCTGTAGATATATCATAATTTACACTAATACATTATTTATAGTGACTAGAATGGCACTCATTTCAAGTGGAATGTGCAATTAAATCTATGATAAAAACAATGTTTTCAATTTAACACAAGTAATTTACAATTTATTTATAAATTTTCCATGAGTATGTGTATTATTACATGTGTAAAATATTATCTGAACATGTTAGTTTAGCTGTATTTATTTCATTTCAATGTGTGTGTGTTTTTTTATTTATTTATTACATTTCTGTTTAATGTGTGTTGTACTTATATGCAAAATCAAATGCCTGTTCCTGATGACAGCAGTATGTTTTAATTTTACAAATAGATTATAACAGTAATCACCTATTAGGTACTTATAGAGGATATTATTGTTTCCAAATTAATTCAGTTTCAATGTTTAAAGTTTGTTTAATATAAGTAAGTAGTTTGTGTAACAAAATATAAGTAGTCCCATCGGGACTACTGGAATGGTTTTTGTGAAATGATGACAAGAATAAATACAATTACACCATAAAAATCGTATTTTAAGACTTATAATGTCGTACTGTCGTTTATAAAGCAGAATTACTGAAATTAAATAACTTTAATGAAGTAGGTTGAAACAAGACCCACCTGGAATCTAGTAGCAGATGGCTGATCCTTGAACCTGGATGGTTTTTCGACATCACGAAAGCTGCTCTTAGTGACAGGTGAGCGCGACTGCACCGTTATCGAGCCGTTAGTCGCAGACTCCGGCAACAACCGGTCCTTCTCCCCCGGCTCCCGCGTTTTAAACTGTAGCCCGGCCTCCACGTCCTCACTCCTCATAGGCACGTCCGCAGCAGATGGATACTGTATATTCCCATTCGTTGCTGCCATAGACTTGGCAGAACTTATCTTCCTGAACCTCCCAATAATAACATCCTCCTCGTCATTTACCGGTAGATTTAATTTCTCCGGCGCCGTGCTAGTATTAGCCTCAGGCTTCACTGGACTCAACTCTATATCCTTCTGTGGCGTACCCATCTTTAGAGACAGTATAAATTTGATTTACAATTATATTAACACATTATTTTAAATTTTATTACCGGCCGATATTTATAAACACTTATGGTATATTTTAGTATTCGCTAGCAAAATACTTGGTGATAGTATTTATAAAATGACAAAGGATTTATAAAATACTACAACGATGTGGTTTTCAGTTAGAATTATTATTTAAAAAAGAGGGAAATAGAAACACGCGGACCGCGCTTCTGAGCTATTTCAGACAAACGACCACCTTGCCGTCTATTTGACAACTAACTGAATGAATGAACAGGCAAACTGCTAAACATAAACCTCTTTAAAACTCGTAACCCATTTTCGGTAACACATTATTTATGTGTTTGGATAAAAAGAATAACTAAATTATATACTTTGTATTAAAATAAATTATTTGTTACTCATACGTAATAATGTTTATTTATAAAATAAAGTTAAATCCAAAGAGTGACTATAGGTAGTCATTTCATTCAATCTTAGTTTGACAGTTTTGACATTGACACTGATGACTGAACTGACAATTCATTTTTGCATTATGGAAATGTCACCTGTTCACGTCAGTTTCATTTATCCAATATTCCAATGGTAGGGTAGTGTTGTAAAATTTTTTAGAAAATATTTATACAAACTTATTTTTAAGATGGGATTCGATGAGGGTCAGATAATTTTAGACAGTGAAAATGGTGCTTATTATGCCGGCCAAACTGTTTATGGGCGATTGGTCTTCTCTCAGGATAAAGTAAAAACTATTCATGGTAAGTTCGTGTCTACTATAGATAGCCCTGCCCAAAAAAGCGTCATTTGAATTAACAAAAGTTTTATTGCCGGTTCAGTTTTGTGTGTGGGTTATAAATGTAGTCTCATTATATTATTCTTCATTTCATCGTATTGAAGTAACCGACGAACACATCAAAAACAATGCAAATTATCTTCAGTATGTACATAGAGTACAAAAATGCCAGAGGAGTTATGCAAATTTTCAAGGATTTATTTGCACTTTCGTAGAAGATAAAGTATTACAAGAATGAAGGACTCCAATCTATACTCATATTATAAAGAGGTAAAATTTGTAACTGTGTATGTAAGGGGTAATCTTTGGAACCACTGGTCAGATTGCCAAAATCCATCACTGATAGATAGCTACAATGTTCCTGAGTGCTATAGGCTATAAAACATCACGCTACAATCAAATGTAGCCGCGCGAGATTAGCTAGTTTTAATATAAACCAATACTTTAGGCTAAGAAACATTTATCCTTTGACTAGCTACTCTCTCGCGGTTTCACCTGCTGCTCAGCTCCATTTGATCGTAGCGTGATGATTTTACCTCTTTATAATATTAGTATAATACATATACAAATGCAGCTATCATTTTTTTAACGAAATATTGTCATATTATTAACTATTTTGATAAAAACACAAAAACAAACTGCATGAACAGTCTTTAAATTTAAGTCTTCATATTTTGATTTATCAATAAATTGATTAAAAAATGTTTAAGAAAAAAATAGTTTTAAATAAATATAGAGAACAGTTTTATTATTTTATAGTAGTTATTAGATGGCAAATTATAGCACATTGTATTATAATGGCTAGGTCTATGTTGTATAGTTAATGTTTTTGTGCTTTGGCCTTGACCTTGAGTTAAAGATTAATGTATTCCATGTGCCACTATACATACAGATACTAAATATAAGTAAATATATTACATCCTTTGTTTCATATTATTTCTGTATCCTAATATTAGTTAAAATGATTAATATCGGTCTGTCTGTAATAGTTTCTGCTGTACCATTTTTACTGACACAAGATAGAACTAGTAAAATATAATAAGATAAGTAGTCTTTGTCAAGGTTTTTGTAATTTTAGCTTCAGTTGCCAGTATCACTAATTAATTATTTGACTACACAAATATTTAATTGTCTTGGTAAGAATACAGATTTAAATTTATTGCCACACCCTTAATAATTTGATGTTGTATAAAAAATGAATAAAATTTGCATTTTATCATCATCAGCTTTATCTTAAAACAAACTAGTAATTGGATAGCTATCATATCCATTACAATAATTATACAATAACCTTGAAATCTAGTAATCATGGATATTAAGAATATACATCATAATGTACTTAAATATTTAAATTGAATAGTCTAGTGGTTCAGTCTTCCCCATTCTAATAAGACGTTTTGACCTTTCAAGCACCAATATTAGAAAAATATCAACATAAATATCACCTAATTCTTTATCAGTCAACGAAAATATTGTTTACTTTTTCTTATCTACGTTTTAAATAATATTATCTAATGTTATATAAGAGTTGCACTGAATATTATCTATGATGTCCAACACTTGTGATGGATGATATCAATGGAAAGAAAAAATATCAAATTTCTTTTATTGATATTTAAAATAGTATAAATAAATAAATATATGTAAATAAATATATTTATAACACAAATGCTCAAAGCATTTCCAAGCAAAACACATATGTATATTTTTAACTTATCAAACCGCTATAAAAAATAAATACTTAACTAAGAGAATTTCCGAATACATTTTTTATGGGGTGAAATACACCCTATTCCTTCTCCTGGTCCTAGGCCGGGATTGTGTGATGGTCTAATGGCTGTTTAAGGCGCAAGCGGAATGCTACACGGCCATGAAGCTAATACGCGCCGTACGCTCGGGACTAATTCATGTCGGGCAGCGAGCTACTTTTATTCGCCGACCGCAGACCCGCGATTACGGTAGTAGAAATCGTCGCGGATCGCGGACTGTGACGTGAAGAGGATATATCCCCGTCCACGGGGACCACTGTGACCTCCGGGTCATCCTTACAGTGAGGACACCTTTGCGTTTCCTCCTCTTCTATCTGAAACATACTAATAGTGTGACAGAAAACTCTTTGACATCATGACGTCAATGGATGGTTGTCAAACGTTGCCTAGAGATTGTAAATTTCGTCGTGAATTGTCAACACGAGTTGGTGTAATCGGTAAGGCGTGTGGATTACACCACAGAGACCCCGAGTTCGAGTCCCGCCGTAAACATGAAGTTTTTTAGTTGATGGAAGTTTTGTCGAACTTTCTGGAATATTTGAGTGAAAGTGATGAAAAATTAAGTAGCGAGAAGAAGAATAAATAAAAATGAATAACGAAATTATTGGAAGATTCTGGAGGCATGACGATCAAAAAGAATAACGAAATTGAATGTTCTAGAACCTGACCGGGGGTATATAAGCGGAACTGCGGCTCACCGCTGGCAGTTGAGTTGAGTTCTAAGTCTAAAGCGATTCGGAAGAAAAGGAAGAAGTGAGAAAGAAGAAAAGTGAGTGAAATAGTGAAGTGCAGTGAAATAGTGAAGTGCAGTCAGTTAAGTGAGTTAAGTCAGCGTGAACGGCAAAGTTGTGTCAGTCGGCCGGACTCTGCTGGAGAGGAACGCCGATAACTTAACTCCGTGGACGCTGTAACTTAAGTGCAATAGAAAGTCTGAAAACCGGTATTAGTGTTTCATTTCATCCAATCCCGTAACCCAAGCCCGCATAGTCAGGAACGTGACGTCAGGCACGTAACATTTGGTGTCAGAAGTGGGATTGGAGAAAAATGCCGCTAGTGCCGCAGGACGTAAGAGGAGTGAGTACCCGTTCAATGTCAGAAGCGCAGCGTGTGAGGGAAGAGGGTGCTGCAGCTCAAACCAGCGATGCAGAAGTCAAGCCTGTGCAGGTGGATCTTCTGCTACAGCTGCAGCAAATGATGGCAGAGCAAGCGCGCCGCCAAGAAGAGCAAGCGCGCCGCCAAGAAGAGCAAGCGCGCCGCCAAGAAGAGCAAGCGCGCTGTCAGGCAGAACAGCTGCGGGAGCTGAAAGAAGAGCAAGCGCGCCGCCAAGAAGAGCAAGCGCGCCGCCAAGAAGAGCAAGCGCGCCGCCAAGAGGAGCAAGCACGCTGTCAGGCAGAACAGCTACGGGAGCAAGCACACTGTCAGGCGGAGCAGCTACGGGAGCTGAAAGAGATGCATAAGGATTTCACGAAGGGACTGCAAAAGGCTGTCGAACGGGTACAGGAAGTGGAGGACGGGTTAGGCAAGTTGGAACATCGCGTCATGGCCATAGAGGAGAGAGTGGAAGAAGAGATCTCCAAAATCAAGCAGGAAATGACAAGCCCAAGCCCTTTGAAGAGCCGAAGCCGTCTTGCAGCCGTTTTTGACGCCCCAAATGCGGCCTCAAGCGCAACGAAAGGGCTCAAGATTCCCCATTACGACGGAACAACATCCTGGACCGCGTTCAAGCTACAGTTTGAGACACTTATGGAGGCTTATGGTTGGACTCAGAAAGAAGCACAGTCAGCCCTCACCCTGGCCCTCCGTGATCAAGCGCTCTCAGTGCTGGAAGCTATCGGCGCAAGTGGGGATCTTAGCTTTAGTACCCTCCTCGACGCACTTGAGGCACGTTTTGGAGACAGCCACCTCGAGCACGTGTACAGAGCGCAATTAAAAGAGCGTACTCAGCGTGCTAATGAGAGTCTACAGCAATGGTCCGTGGAAATCGAGAAACTTGTGCGTCGAGCTTTTCGGTCGACTCCATCAATGATTGAAGGCACGCTTCTCCAAGCATTCATTGACGGTGTTCGGGACCCCGAAGTACGAGCTGCTGTTCATCTGGGCCATCACAAGAACATGAAAGAAGCTCTGGCCCATGCATTGGAAGTGGAAGCCGTGCGTGGTAACTCCCGTACCTTACGTCTGCGGGAAATGACGACAACGGAGCAGGTACCTCCACGCCGTCGGAACTTCATGTGCTATGGATGCGGAGAGCGTGGGCACATGCGGAGCGACTGCCCGAAGAAGGTGAACCGCCAGGACGCGGCGGTCTCAACTTCTGACCAGCAGGGAAACTAAATCCAGCCAGGGCTGCGGGGTGGGCGCTGGCCGGTAGTGGAATAACCCCAACAATCTACATCAAGCAAACTAGCGATGGAAATACTCTGGTGATAGACGGTCAAGTAAATGGGAAAAACAGTCAGCTAACATTAGATACTGGAGCTTCAAGGACGGTGATAAATGTTCGGCTGCTCGGGCAAAACATCAGGAAACACGTTAAACCAATTGTTGGCCTACGAATGAAATCAGCTACCGGCCAGTGCATACCGATAAGTGGAAAACTGCATGTAACAATCAAAATTGGGGAACGTGTTTATCGACATGAGGTTATTGTGGCCAAAATTCTGGATGACTGCATCCTGGGACTTGACTTCCTGCAAGGGCACCAGTGTAACATCGACTTAAAATCTGGAGTATTACTATGTGGAACTGAAGAAATTCCGATGAAGGGTGGAACCCTGGGAAAAGTTTGCTGTTTAAGAAGAACTGTTCTTGAACCAAAATCACAGACTCTCGTACCAATCGCATTACCTAGGAGGAGGGAAGGAAGTTTACCTCTAAGGTGCGCTGTGATTGATAAATCGGAACACGTAAACTCATGGCTACCGGCGAGAACTGTCGTGGGGTCATCTGATGTCAACCGCATTCCGGTATTCAACTTCAGTGATTCAAAAATTACGATTGAAGAAGGAGAGCCTGTGGGCGTATTGGAAGAAGTGGCCTGGATAAGAAAATGCTCGGAGAATCTTGTGAAGAAGGACAGTACGGGAATAGACTTTGTAACGAAAATCTTAGACGAAAACAAAAGTCTGACAAAAGTGGAGACTATGAAAGCTAGAAATTTACTTCTTCGATTCTCTGATGTGTTTTCAAGAAGCGATGGTGATATTGGCCCAACTGGTTTAGTGAAGCATAAAATAAACACAGGTGATACAATGCCAATTCGTCAAAGGCCCAGACGCATACCATTCGCTCGTGAGAAAGAGGTTGAAGAAATGATTGACGATATGAGGAAAAATGACGTGATAGAGCCCTCTTCTAGCCCTTGGTGTTCACCTGTCGTGCTTGTCAAGAAGAAAGATGGTTCAACGAGGTTTTGCGTAGACTATCGACGATTGAATGATGTAACCAAGAAGGATAGCTACCCGTTACCAAGAATCGATGACACACTTGACACACTGAGTGGCATGAAATGGTTTTCAACGCTCGATCTGAAAAGCGGCTATTGGCAGGTGGATTTGGATCCCAAGGACAAGGAAAAGACCGCATTCTCAACTGGGAAGGGACTCTGGCAATTTAAGGTGATGCCATTTGGATTATGCAATGCACCGGCAACCTTTGAGCGTTTGATGGAACAGGTGCTGGCGGGACTGCTGGGCGAAACCTGCCTAGTTTACCTCGATGACATCATCATTGTTGGACGGGATTTTGACGATCATCTAAGGAAATTGGAAAAGGTACTCGATAAGCTGCGTGGAGCAAATTTAAAGTTGAGTCCAAAGAAATGCTCTTTCTTCAAGCGCGAAGTGAATTATCTAGGACATGTTATTTCTGAGAGAGGAATTGAGACTGATCCAGCCAAGACTGCCGCTGTTAAGGAATGGCCAACACCTAAAGACAAAACGCAAGTTCGGGCATTTCTTGGATTGTGCTCGTATTATCGGCGGTTTGTGAAAGGATTCTCGGACATTGCCAAGCCTTTGCATCGATTGACAGAGGAGAAACGTGCCTTTATCTGGGACGAGGATTGTGAGCAAGCCTTTCGAGAACTAAAAGAACGGCTTTGTAACACACCAATTCTCGGATACCCCAGCGCGAAAGGAATATTCGTAGTTGATACGGATGCCAGCAATATTGGAATAGGAGGTGTCCTTTCACAACGCGATGGTGAGCAGGAGAAGGTTATTGCTTACTTCAGCAAGTCACTATCCAAGCCGGAGAAGAATTATTGCGTGACCAGGAGGGAATTGCTGGCCGTAGTCAAAACTCTGCACCATTTCAAGAAGTATTTACTGGGACGGAAATTTTTGATCAGAACTGATCACGCTGCTTTGAAATGGCTGCTTCAGTTTAAGGATCCCGAAGGCCAAGTAGCCAGATGGTTGGAACAACTTCAGGAATTTGACTTTGAAATCGAACATCGCGGCGGAAGAATTCATGGCAACGCAGATGCATTATCGAGACGCCCATGCGTGGAAGATTGCAAGCATTGTGCCAAGAAGGAAACTGCTTTTCTTAAGGTGATAAGGACTGATACTGTTGACGAGGCATGGGGAGATGATGCGATGAAATTAGAACAGGAAAGAGATGCAGATATCAAACCAATACTGGAGTGGCTACGAAGTGGTAACAAGCCAAGTTGGAGTGACGTCGCCCAATATAGCGCGGTAACGAAAGGTTTATGGGCACAGTGGAAAAGCCTCACGCTGCATAACGGACTTCTGTGCAGGAAATGGGAATCAACAAACGGCAAGGACGAGCATTTGCAATTGGTGGTGCCTCGTTCAAAAATAAGGGATGTATTAAAAGCGTTCCATGATGGATCTTCTGGAGGACATTTGGGAATTAGGAGGACTTTGGTGAAGATCAAGGAGAGGTTTTATTGGTTGCATTGCAAATATGACGTCGAAGATTGGTGCCGGAAATGCACTAGTTGTGCAGCTGTCAAGGGTCCACAAACAAGAAGCAGAGGGGCGATGAAAATCTACAATGTTGGTATGCCTTGGGAGAGAATAGCCTTAGACATCGCTGGACCATTTCCAATCACTGATTCGGGCAATCGCTACGTTTTAGTGGTTATGGATTATTTTACAAAATGGCCGGAGGTCTTTGCCATACCGAATCAAGAGGCAGTAACTGTAGCCACGAAGTTGGTAAACGAGGTATTCACCCGATTCGGAGTGCCCTTGGAGATGCACAGTGATCAAGGACGGAACTTTGAATCCCAAGTTTTCCAGGAAACTTGTAAACTTTTGGGAATCCATAAGACTCGAACGACCCCTTATCATCCACAGTCAGATGGAATGGTCGAACGCTTCAACCAAACATTGGAGCGACACTTAGCAAAGGTGGTTGACAGCCATCAGAGAGATTGGGACACTTACATACCTCTCTTCTTGCTTGCCTATCGGACTGCTGTACATGAAAGTACCGCAAAGACGCCTGCATTTGCAAATTTTGGAAGGGAATTGAGATTACCGGCAGATCTTGTATCGGGCTGTCCACCTGGTGATTCTCGCACCGAGTTTAGCGATTACATAAGCGAGTTAAGGGCAAAAATGTTGGACATTTATGAGCAGATCAGGGAGGCCGGTCTTCAAGCTAGTGATCGCGCAAAGACGCGCTATGATCGACGAGCCAATTCTGTTGGGTTTGAAGAGGGGTCATTGGTCTGGCTTCATAATCCAGTCAGAAGGAAGGGAAAATCTCCAAAGCTGCAACCGAGTTGGGAAGGTCCTTACGAGATAGTCACGAAGATCAATGACATTACTTACAGAATTCGGAAGTCTTCAAGGAGCCCTTTGAAAGTTGTCCATATAGACAGGTTGGCGAGGTATTACGGCAGCAACGATGCTCGGGACGAGCGAATCTAAGAGGGGGGCAGTGTGACAGAAAACTCTTTGACATCATGACGTCAATGGATGGTTGTCAAACGTTGCCTAGAGATTGTAAATTTCGTCGTGAATTGTCAACACGAGTTGGTGTAATCGGTAAGGCGTGTGGATTACACCACAGAGACCCCGAGTTCGAGTCCCGCCGTAAACATGAAGTTTTTTAGTTGATGGAAGTTTTGTCGAACTTTCTGGAATATTTGAGTGAAAGTGATGAAAAATTAAGGAGCGAGAAGAAGAATAAATAAAAATGAATAACGAAATTATTGGAAGATTCTGGAGGCATGACGATCAAAAAGAATAACGAAATTGAATGTTCTAGAACCTGACCGGGGGTATATAAGCGGAACTGCGGCTCACCGCTGGCAGTTGAGTTGAGTTCTAAGTCTAAAGCGATTCGGAAGAAAAGGAAGAAGTGAGAAAGAAGAAAAGTGAGTGAAATAGTGAAGTGCAGTGAAATAGTGAAGTGCAGTCAGTTAAGTGAGTTAAGTCAGCGTGAACGGCAAAGTTGTGTCAGTCGGCCGGACTCTGCTGGAGAGGAACGCCGATAACTTAACTCCGTGGACGCTGTAACTTAAGTGCAATAGAAAGTCTGAAAACCGGTATTAGTGTTTCATTTCATCCAATCCCGTAACCCAAGCCCGCATAGTCAGGAACGTGACGTCAGGCACGTAACAATAGTAATAGATCCGCAAGGCAGCTTGTGGCGAGCTGTTGGGCAGTGGCGAACTGGCGATCCCACGGACCGGACTCCCGGGAGGTGTCTTGTTCTTCATCTCCAGTAAGTCTTCGTGACTAGCTGGAGTGAACACTGATGAATATCAAGCCCTCGTACCTCATTCTCGCGTTAATTGGCTGGCTTGAGAAAAGATTCGCAATAGTAAGAGTTGAAGGAGACTCGGGGGAAGGATGTATCTCAGTAAAATGCTGGTAGGGGTCTTGACCGTACTTCCGGGATTGCTCTGATAGCCGTGGGATGCCTCTCCTTCCCCAAGCAGCTCAACGTATGATGCATCCGTGTCGCTTCATGCTAGCGGCCGTTTCCCCTTGCTTATAGGGGCAGGGGCCATAGTATTTCCATTATCCACCCGTTCATAGCAATTCATACCCATAACCCTTTCAATTATAACCACATTTCGCAATAGTCCTGCAATAACCAGGGATTGTCCTTGGGTGCACTTTTATAGTGCATACAGGGATAATTGCCCTGATGTCCCATTTCCCTTATATTAAAGTTGTTCAACGGGCCTCTACGAGATGGCTATGGCCCCTCGTATCCAAAGGTCCGGGATCCTGTGATCTCGTGAACGAAAACGTACACAGAAAATATTAGTAATATTTTATTTGCATACCATAATGGTATAAAGATATTACAAAGGGCTTAAAGCTAGGTACATAATTATGGACCCTGATAGGCCACAGTAAAAAAGTATAAGTTTAACTATACCTACAGGATACAAATCTGAGATAACTACTTTCATCATTGTCTAGGCGCGTATCTGGGGGCACGGCAGTGTCCCCACCAAGTAGAACGGTACTGGCAGAAGCTAGTTATTCAGTAATGTTCTTTCCTTTCATTTATTATCTGTTTTAGTCATTAAGTAGCTGTTTATTTTATTTAATACATACATTTTTATAAAATAAAAGTGATCAAATTTATTAATTGCCATCTGTTATTTACTCATTCATTATTTAGATGGTATCTTTTCCTTGCAGGGATCTATGTGGATATGAAAGGTTTCTGCAAAGTCCACTGGTCGACAGAGCACTCTCGGAGAGTAAATGATCGAACTGAGTTCTACTCAGTGGACCATGATTCACATGAAGAATATTTCAAAAGCAAAAGATTCTTGATTGGCAGTGAAAATGGTAAGCAAAAAATAGAATTTATTTTCCTACTGAACTTTGTTACTTGTTTTCGCCACTCCGCCGACGGACAGTAGGACAGATCATACATAGATTACTAACTACTAACACTCTACTCAACTGTTTCATTTTGAACCATGATGTGCGTACTGGATAAAGTAATGCCAGTAATCAAGTCACAAAGATACACTGAAATATAATAAATAAAACTAAACAAGTATAAAATTTTATTCTACATATGACTTAGCTCTCGTCTTCATCATTATTGTATAAATGTCACCGGGAAATACTGCAAGGAAAATCTATTGATATTGATAAATAATTGCATTTGCACATTCATCATCATCATCATCTTCCTGTCCTTGTCCCGTTTTATTTGGGGTCGGCGCAATATGTTTTTTTCTTCCATTCTGTCCTGTCACTCGTCACATTTGCACATTATTAAGTATAAATATGTAATTATAATGTATTTATTTTTTTATAATATAATGCTCGTATTTATGGAAAAACTATTGCTTGTATAAACATTGTATTTCACAATTATAATAAGTATAAATAAATAACATTTATACTACAAATTATAAACTGCCTAATTCAAAAAACGAAAACGGCTCACCAATACGACTAATTTTTATGCTCTTTGAAATTCAATGAGTGTCAATAATTGTGTGGTCTTGTGAAGAGAAAAATAGCTTTAAACGTTTTCTATATGGCCAGAACGGCAAGTCCTTCCGTTCGCCAATAATAGATCATTAAATTCATGAATGAATAAGTAATGCCAGCGACATTTTGTTACACTATGTGGCAATAGGCTTGCCCCTATCATATGGAGATATCTGCATGCCATACGAGCGATAAAAAAGTGCACTAAATAGTCATATTATTATGTAGTCTTTATGCGTAGAATTCATTTTACATAGTCTGTAATAGTTATGTCAGCTATTTTGACTTTCTGAGGCAAGCAATTCCAAAACAAAAAAAAATGTGTTCGAATTCTGAACTATTTGCCAACTATAATAACCCTGTGACGTCACATCCAATGTTAATACTTTAACTTATCCGTTTAGAGTCATAACTGTAATGATCATAATTATTTTGTTTAGCTGAACACCACCTTCAGCCAGGTAACCATGAGTTTAGGTTCGACTGCCCTATACCGATCAACTGCCCCTCATCCTTCGAAGGCAGCCATGGCCACATCAGATACAGAATCAAAGTGGTCATGGTGACCAAAGGGATGTTCTCCTTCAACAAGGACAAAATGGTGCCCATCAAAGTTCACGCTCCGTTGGACTTGAACATGAATCCTTATTGTAGGGTAAGAGAGTCTTAAATTGTTTGGCTTTTTGCAGACTAATTATTTGATAACTACGATGTACTAGTTTTACGTCTTGAAAAATGAAAATTGAGCATTGTATCTTATACCATAGCATAGCACGTGAAAAATGTATGTAGTAAATACAATTTATTTACTCCACTCTTACAAAATGTACCTTACATTATAAGATTAAAGTTGATTTTTGTAAATCTTTGCTTGATAGGAACCGATGGAGTTTGACCTGTCGACATCGTACTGCTGTTGGTGTGTGAGTGCTGGTCACTCCGAAATTTTTGTGAAGATGCCAGTCGGCGGGTACGTTCCCGGACAGATCATACCCATGGAGGTATCTTGCAAGAACGAGAGTAACGTCGAGATTGAAGAGATTAAGTTCGCTATTAAAAAGGTTGGTACCAAGTATTTAGTTCATATTTTTAAATCTTCTTTTTCCCCCTGTGCGCGTACGAACTCAAAAATCTTCTAGAACCAGAAACACTAAGAACATCTTTTTCCCTGTCACCATTTGCTAATCATAATATTGTGTTATTTCTTCAAAACAGTATGTAGCGAAGCTTTTCTTGAATTGTTCAAGCCATCCTTCGGCACGAATGGACCGACTCGACCAAAGACGAAACACGCATTGCTTTTTTTTCTATTCCCCCCACTTACATCCCCAACTCCCAAATGCACCAAACCTCAAATTCCGAAAAGGTTGGCAATGCATTTCTTACTCTTCGATATTTCAAGTATCAATGGCCAGCTCCGGTTGCTTACCATCAGGTTATCTATATATGTAATGGATTGCCGACGTAGTTATACTATAAAAAAATAAATTAATGTATTGAAATGTGTCTAGGACGTTCAATACATTGCCGAGTCCGCGCCGGGGACCCGCATCGAGCAGGACACGGTGGCCGAGCTTAAAAAGGGCCCTATCCCTGGCCGCACTACTCGCAACTGGACGGTAGAGATGGAAGTGCCAACAATGGACATATACAACGTGGCCGCCTGTCGGTTCATTAATATCGATTATAAATTCAAGGTATGACTCTAACACTAGATATTATTGATAAAATACTTGTTCTAAGAAACTGAACGTTGGCCCTCACTAAGAATTCATTCAGTGTCGTGATTGCGTTCAGAAACGCTCAATTTCATATACACAACAAAAAATTGTGATAATAAATCTTTTAAACTCATTTAGGTTTTAAACTCAACTACACGCTGATTATCTAATAAGTGTGGGATAATATTTAATTAGGAAATCAACATTTAATTGAGAAGCAAAGGGAAACGCCTAGATTCTAGGCGTTTCCCTTAAAGGCCCTAGGCCCTAGAATATAATGCAAACATTACCAAACACTGCAAAGAAATGTGATTACTACTAAGTTAAACATTTTTTCTCAGGTGTCGACAGAAGTGAGTGGATGCCACGATGGTACCGAAGATGTCCGACCTATAATATTCGGCACTGTCCCGGTACAAGGTTTCCAAGATAACGTGCAGAACCCACTTCAAGACCAATTGCCACAAGTCAATATTCAAAACGTACAGAATACTTACCCTCCCCCACCCATCATGAATCAACCACTACCAAATTCGCCTTACGCCAATGGAGCTCCCAACGTCTACCCAAATAATTCACCTTATCCTGGTGCTCCTGGCTACCCTACTACCCCTGTTATGGGTGGAAGAACATCTCCCTACCCTGGAAATCAACCAAATGTAACTCCATACCCACCCAATCAACCTTACCCTGGAGCTTCGCCTTACCCTGGAGGACCGTCACCTTACCCTGGAGGCCCGTCGCCATACCCAGGAGGACCGTCACCGTACCCTAGTAACACTCCTTACTCCACGGACAATAGCCCATACGGAGGAAACCAAGGTCCTGCGCCGCCGTACCCGGGAGTGCCGGGCGCTGCGCCCCCATACCCTGGCGTACCGAACACTTCGCCCCCTTACCCTAACGTAACAACAACGACTTTGGTGAAAACTGGTAACATAGGATTCACTGCAGACAATGTTGGGGACCCCGCTGCCATACCGCTGTTACCCCAAGGAGCCAATGTGCCTTATGTAAGTTGAAAATTTCAATTAATTTATTTGTAGGAATAAAATCCTACTAAGTGAGGGCAGGTAACACTAAATCTACGCCATTTTTACGCGCGCACCCCCTCTCTAGGTCAGAGCTGTCAGAGAGAAAAAATTAATTCGCGCGCATTTAGGTATACTGTAAAGCCGATTTTGTAGATTTTGTTTTTTAAGTTTTCTTTTTCTATAATTAAGTAAATGATCCCTCAAAATCCCTCTTTTGTTTCTAGCCATGGCCAACATGATGCCCCGGGCTTTTCACATCACGACCTTGTGTACCTATCCTATGTCCTAAAACCCCCAAAAATTAAGCCCAGGATACTGTATAGGCGCTGCTTTAGGCAAATGGATGAAGGGAGGCTACAAAACGATGCGTCAAACCTCGACTGGGAGCCACTGATGCAGGCGAATACAGTCGATGAAAAGGTTGCCATTTTTAATAAAGCTGTAACAGATTTATACGATCGGCACGCTCCTGTTCGAAAGGTGAAAATGAAGCGCCCGCCTGCACCGTGGTTGACCAGAGGTATACAAATGGCTATGCGACGTAGAGACCGTGCGTTTCGTAAGCACAAACGAGACCGCACTGAGGAAAATTGGGTGGCATTTAAGATTGCAAGGAATCGATGCAACCAGATGGTACGTAACGCCAAACGCCGACACATCCTTGAAAACATTTCTTCATCTTCTCCTGCCGATATCTGGAAATTTTTAAAATCTCTGGGTATTGGCAGAACGCATCTTTCAGACCTTCCTAACTCAATTAGTCCAGACGATCTTAACAAACATTTCTCCACTTCTTCGTCTTTGGATCGTCTGACTATAGATGGTACTGTGGCTTTCATTGCTGGTCTGGTGCGTTCTAAAATTGTTCCATTTCGTTTCGTTCCTGTGGAGTCAGCGGAGATCAAAAAGATTATCCTGTCCATCAAGTCCAAGGCTGTTGGTTGTGACAACATATCCCGTTACATGATCACAACAGTTTTGGACCACCTCTGCCCAGCCCTTACTCATATAGTAAACTTTTCCTTGTTCACCGGTTCTTTTCCTTCTCTGTGGCGCCTAGCTTTTGTTAGGCCACTTCCTAAGGTCCCAAATCCTACTCTACCCACCCACTTCCGCCCAATTTCAATCCTTCCATTCCTATCTAAAGTGCTTGAGGCTTGTGTTCACAAGCAACTCTCGCACTTTATATTTAAAAACTCCCTGTTAAGTCCTTTCCAGTCTGGTTTTAGACCAGGACACAGTACTACAACCGCTCTCCTCAAAGTGACTGGCGATGTGAGGCTTGGTCTGGATGATACTAAAATCACCGTGCTGGTGTTAGTTGATTTTTCCGACGCCTTCAACATGGTCAGTCACGATGTCCTCCTAGCCATCCTGTCCTATCTTATGGTCTCCGATGATAGTCTGCAATGGTTTTCTTCCTATCTTCAGGGACGACAGCAACGGGTACAGGTTGGTGATAATTCATCATGCTGGTGCACGTTGGAAACTGGCGTCCCTCAAGGCGGTATACTTTCCCCTCTTCTATTTTCATTGTTTATTAATATGCTTACCACAGAACTTCAATGTCCGTATCATCTGTATGCTGATGACTTGCAATTATACTGCCAAGCTAGCAGAGAGCAGCTGTCTGGTGCTGTTGATAAGCTAAATGTTGATCTGCAGGCCATTAAGAACTGGTCCGATAGGTTTGGGATAGCTGTTAATCCTTGCAAATGCCAGGCGATAGTTATCGGCAGTTCCCGTATGCTAAGTAAGATTGGTAATAACACGCTACCACCTATTATATTCAACAACGCTGTCATCCCGTTTAGTAGCGATGTCAAGGATCTCGGTCTGCACATTGACAGCACCCTCAGCTGGCGTACGCAGGTCACTAACGTATGCAAAAAAGTCACAGGTTCGCTGCGGTCCCTATATCGTCTCAAAAATTTTCTCCCATCCTTTGTAAAAGCAGCGCTTGTGCAATCCCTTATTTTCCCTATTATTGACTATGGTGATGTTTGTTATTACGACCTGAATGCAGATCTCCTCAATAGGCTTGATCGACTTCTGAATAACTGCATTCGATTTGTTTTCAACCTGCGTAAATATGATCATGTTTCTGCACATCGGCTGCAATTAAAGTGGTTGCCCATACGCCAGCGCAGGGAGCAAAGGGCTCTCACCACTCTGTACTCCTTTCTTGTTTCTCCTTTTCCCCCTAGCTATCTATCTTCTTATTTTCAATACACCAGTGCAAACCATACTAAATATCTTCGTTCTTCCAATAATCGTCACCTTCAATGTATAAGTCATCACACTGACTTTCTTCACTCTTCTTTCTTTATTCAGTCTGTAATGCTATGGAATGCACTACCCACGGAGATTAGGATGGCAACCAGTCGTTTGTCTTTCAAAACAAGATTGCGTGAGCATCTTCTTAAAAAGTTGGCGAATTCAAATCTCTCATAACTACTTATTATTATTTTATTTATATATTTCTATGTAGTATGTGTATTTTATGTACTTATACTTTATAGTTATATTAAGTATTGTATATTATAGAATACCCTACCTGATGTTTATTTGTACAATGATATTCATATTTTTATTGTATGTTTATATATATATAGGTACTGTCTAAGTAATGTATTTCTCATATAGTCATAAAATTTTGTTATATATACTTTTGTCACCTGCCACTCTCATCTCTCCACCATCTGAAGGTCGACTGTCAGACAATGCCTAAGGCATTAAGTCCGCCTGTACATTCTTTTGTATAAAGTGTATAAATAAATAAATAAATAAATAAATAAATGCCAAATAAAAAAACTTCATTCTACATTTTCCTTTGTCTCTATACAAAAGACTATAGTCTATATTATCTGCACAGTTTTAACTATATAAAGTTAGTGAGTAGTGCCCTATTAACCTTTTTCTAATTTAATATTTCTTTGTAATAGCCCACTAGCCCACCGTCGAATCCGTATGCGACTGCGTCGGCGCCTGTGCCCTCGACACCCGGTACAGATGAAAGTAAGTAAAACTTGTACTATACTGAACATTTTCTCTTTATATATAAAAACTTCGTGTCACATGTTAGTCCGCGATGGACTCCTAAACTACTAAACCGATTTTAAATTTGATTTGCATTCCTGTGTGCATTTTGATCCAATTTGACTACATCTTGATTACATCTCAATTTATAGTCACAATATTATTTACCTTAGCACACAGCAACGCGTGGCTGGGCCTGCTAGTATATTATATAAAGAAGTTTGTTTAAGAATTCTATGTGTGGCTGGTTCAATTCAGCACACAGATTTTTGTGAAGCAGCTGACTACGATGTGTGGGTACCTTTGTGAATTTTTATACACAAGACTGGAGAAAATGTTCCAATAAAGAAAGGAAACTTTAAAAAAAGAAAAGAAATCTGCCCTGTTGTTTGCAAGTAACTAGAATCCGATCCCCGATTTGGACAAAATGTTGTTACATCTTTTCAGTTTTGGTATATTTCCAGTAGTAGCTCTGATTGGTCAGTGTTTATCCCTAGAGCATAGACTCACTCTTTAATAAAACAATGAATTTATTTTTGTAAATAGGCCATAAAACAGCACTTTTACACATCAAATTTACAAGCAAAAAACTAGATGAAACTGGCTTCACCGACTTAACTAGGCCTGTTATTAAACCGACTGCCAAAAGGTAGTTAAAATAAATAATAGTTGCTGAGTTAGGTAGTTAAACAATATATGCTTATCTTTATCACAGAAAAACCACCATTGGCTGTGCCAGAAGATAGTGCCGCCGTTCCGCCATATAATCCAGAGTTTATGAAGGAAAATGAGAAAAAAGATGAGAAAGTTGAGAAACCAAACTAAATGACACCCGAACTACCTCAAACGCTACTGGACAGTAAGAATCGTTGGTGCCTTGATATACTGGTCAGTGGATTTTATATTTAATAACTGTATTTGAATTTAAGTCTTATATTATAATCTTGGAAATTAAGTTCAAATGAAGAATTTGGCACCTTACAAGCTGCCTTATGTAGCCTTTAGTACACAATAAGATGTTATTATGTACATGTTAATTCGTCTATTAAATAAACTTAGCTTTACGTAATTATACAAAAAAGTCGTCACACACAAAAAAGTAAAAGAATGTGTAGCCCTCTAGTGGATTGATATGATAGAATGTTTATGATCTCGCTTTTAACCTAGAGGTAAAGTGAAGCGTTAAAAATGCTAAATAATAATATGAAAGATGGTTACCAAGAGTTAAATGAATATAGAATCCAATAAGAAACGTAACAAAATTGTACCTTAGTATACATAAATAATAATAATGAAATTATAAACGTTCTGATGGTGCTTAAAACTCTACCCGCCTTTTCTTACAAAATTAATAATAATTACTACGTTTGCATGTTTATTTTATTTTGAATATCTAAACAATAATAAGCCTAGATATGTCATACTGTAAAACATTTAAAATGTACCTAGAAACTTAGACCCATGAGATTTTTTATTTCAATAAGTGACAATCTCCAATTTCAATTATCGCAAGTACAAATCATATAAAACCTATAAGTAGTTGAATTGTTGCGCAACACTGCTTTTATATGTTTTAAAAGTGTCAAAATAATAGCTATATTGAGGTAAAAAAGTGCCATATTTAGATAATGGTGCTTACATATTTTTCACTGAGACAATTATATAGTTTCAATTTACCATTTTTCTATATACTTTTCAATTTCCTACTTTCTTCACAATGTAACTTATATGTACTTGAATTTCTATAAAGATTTATCTCTAACTAAATAATTCTACTAATGTGTTCATAAGTACATCCAAAACTATTCTTGATAAAATTTCACCAACTCGAAGAGAGGATTCTTCATCTATAAGCCTTTACAATTTTTGATAAATTCATATATTTTTTACTTATAATGTTTGTGATATTGTTGTAATGTTACAAATAATTATGAAAAAAGAGCCTTTTATATTTTTTCTTATACTCGTAATTTTGATATTTTTATAATGTTTTTATTTTGCAACTATTAAAATAATGGTTTTATTATTAAGGTAAAAATAATGTAAGATTCGTTTTAAAAAAATATGAGTAATACGTGTTTTAAATGACGTAAAATGGTTGGAGTAGGCCTTCAAAATAGCCTTAATTTGGAATTTAAGATATTTCCATACTCACAATAATTTTAGACATGCGCGGCCTTATTACAAAGCAAGGGTTTACTTTAGTCTAGGACTAAACCATTGAGCCAGTTTTCGTATTTCGAATTGAAGGTAGATGACAATAGGATTCATTCAAAATTCAAAACCCGACTCAATGGTTTCAACCTGGACTAAAGATAAACCTTGTTGTGTAATAAGGGGGGGGCAATGTTTTATCTGTTTGTACTTAACGAAATGTTATGAAGCCTTCTATAATTACATTTTTATCTAATGAAATAAGAATATTTAGGTTCGATAATTATGCAGTTTCTAACTCATCGCACTTCGTAAATCTCCCTGTATGTTTAAACAAAAAGAGTTATGTATATCGTTATCCAGAGACCAAGACTACCGCCCAGTTGAGGCGTAAGTTTAGAAAGGCGTTGTCTAGACCTGCTGCAGCTTACATTTAAAATAAGATTTTTTATTGCTTTTATGCTGTGTTATTTGAAGTTATTTTTATGGTGCTTCTATAAAATAGAAAAAGGTGCCTATAGTATACAATAAAAATTATTATCCGTTTTTAAAACTGACATCGCAAAATGTATCTTAAAGTTATATTTTTAAAGTTGATTATGTATTCAATTTGTAAACTAGTCAGTACAAACAATACTTAAAAGTTGATCTACAATGTGTGACTAATTTTATGAAATAATTGTTATTTAGTTAAGAAAACGCATTTATACCTCTTATGTGTCGGATCAAATCTAACCTACAATAAGATGTTCCTCTTTAAACAGAAGTACAATATTTTTTATGAAGAAATACTTTAAGAAACTTCCCAGTGTATTTAGTTGTAAACTCGAATATATTTTATAATGCTTTTGATTCGTATTAAGACTATGTACTCGTTAATAAATAATGTATATTTACCTACCTGTGTGTAATTTATTAACCACTCCTGCCTACCTTGATAATTGCAATTATGTGTTCTTATAAGCTAATTATAATTTTCACGTCACAAACACATAATTATTGTTACGTGCCTGACGTCACGTTCCTGACTATGCGGGCTTAGGTTACGGGATTGGATGAAATTAAACACTAATACCGGTTTTCAGACTTTCTATTGAAATTAAGTGACAGCGTCCACGGAGTTAAGTTATCGGCGTTCCTCTCCAGCAGAGTCCGGGCGACTGACACAGACTGCCGTTTGCCGCTCACTGTGCACGCTGACTTAACTCACGGCACTTCACTATTTCACTCACTTTTCTTCTTTTTCACTTCTTCCTTTTCTTCCGAATCGCTTCTTAGAACTCAACTGCCAGCGGTGAGCCGCAGTTCCGCTTATATACCCCCGGTCAGGTTCTGGAACATTCAATTTCGTTCGTCTTTTCATTATTCATTTTTTTTATTCTCCTTCTCGCTCTTTAATTTTCCATTTCTTTCACCCAAAAGCTTCCAGAAAGTTCTACACAAAATTTCCATCAACTAAAAACTCCATGCTTACGGCGGGACTCGAACTCTTTGTCAAGGCAACGTTTGACAACGATTCATAGACACACTGCCCCAGCGCGTTTTTGCGCTATCACTAGCTTGAAGACCGGCCTCTCTGATCTGCTCGTAAATGTCCAACATTTTTGCCCTTAACTCGCTTATGTAATCGCTAAATTCGGTGCGAGTGTCGCCAGGTGGACAGCCCGATATCAGATCTGCCGGTAATCTCAATTCCCTTCCAAAATTTGCAAATGCAGGGGTCTTTGCGGTGCTTTCATGTACCGCAGTCCGATAGGCAAGCAAGAAGAGAGGTATGTAAGTGTCCCAATCTCTCTGATGGCTGTCAACCACCTTTGCTAAGTGTCGCTCCAATGTTTGGTTGGAACGTTCGACCATTCCATCTGACTGTGGATGATAAGGGGTCGTTCGAGTCTTATGGATTCCCAAAAGTTTACAAGTTTCCTGAAAATCAAAGTTCCGTCCTTGATCACTGTGCATCTCCAAGGGCACTCCGAATCGGGTGAATACCTCGTTTACCAACTTTGTGGCTACAGTTACTGCCTCTTGATTCGGTATGGCAAAGACCTCCGGCCATTTTGTAAAATAATCCATAACCACTAAAACGTAGCGATTGCCCGAATCAGTGATTGGAAATGGTCCAGCGATGTCTAAGGCTATTCTCTCCCAAGGCATACCAACATTGTAGATTTTCATCGCCCCCCTGCTTCTTGTTTGTGGACCCTTGACAGCGGCACAACTAGTGCATTTCCGGCACCAATCTTCGACGTCATATTTGCAATGCAACCAATAAAACCTCTCCTTGATCTTCACCAAAGTCCTCCTAATTCCCAAATGTCCTCCAGAAGATCCATCATGGAACGCTTTTAATACATCCCTTATTTTTGAACGAGGCACCACCAATTGTAAATGCTCGTCCTTGCCGTTTGTTGATTCCCATTTCCTGCACAGAAGTCCGTTATGCAGCGTAAGGCTTTTCCACTGTGCCCATAAACCTTTCGTTACCGCGCTATACTGGGCGACGTCACTCCAACTTGGCTTGTTACCACTTCGTAGCCACTCCAGTATTGGTTTGATATCCGCATCTCTTTCCTGTTCTAATTTCATCGCATCATCTCCCCATGCCTCGTCAACAGTATCAGTCCTTATCACCTTAAGAAAAGCAATTTCCTTCTTGGCACAATGCTTGCAATCTTCCACGCATGGGCGTCTCGATAATGCATCTGCGTTGCCATGAATTCTTCCGCTGCGATGTTCGATTTCAAAGTCAAATTCCTGAAGTTGTTCCAACCATCTGGCTACTTGGCCTTCGGGATCCTTAAACTGAAGCAGCCATTTCAAAGCAGCGTGATCAGTTCTGATCAAAAATTTCCGTCCCAGTAAATACTTCTTGAAATGGTGCAGAGTTTTGACTACGGCCAGCAATTCCCTCCTGGTCACGCAATAATTCCTCTCCGGCTTGGATAGTGACTTGCTGAAGTAAGCAATAACCTTCTCCTGCTCACCATCGCGTTGTGAAAGGACACCTCCTATTCCGATATTGCTGGCATCCGTATCAACTACGAATATTCCTTTCGCGCTGGGGTATCCGAGAATTGGTGTGTTACAAAGCCGTTCTTTTAGATCTCGAAAGGCTTGGTCACAATCCTCGTCCCATATAAAGGCACGTTTCTCCTCTGTCAATCGATGCAATGGCTTGGCAATGTCCGAGAATCCTTTCACAAACCGCCGATAGTACGAGCATAATCCAAGAAATGCCCGAACTTGCGTTTTGTCTTTAGGTGTTGGCCATTCCTTAACAGCGGCAGTCTTGGCTGGATCAGTCTCAATTCCTCTCTCAGAAATAACATGTCCTAGATAATTCACTTCGCGCTTAAAGAAAGAGCATTTCTTTGGACTCAACTTTAAATTTGCTCCACGCAGCTTTTCGAGTACCCTTTCCAATTTTCTTAGATGATCGTCAAAATCCCGTCCAACAATGATGATGTCATCGAGGTAAACTAGGCAGGTTTCGCCCAGTAGTCCCGCCAACACCTGTTCCATCAAACGCTCAAAGGTTGCCGGTGCATTGCATAATCCAAATGGCATCACCTTAAATTGCCAGAGTCCCTTCCCAGTTGAGAATGCGGTCTTTTCCTTGTCCTTGGGATCCAAATCCACCTGCAAATCCCGCTTTTCAAATCGAGCGTTGAGAACCATTTCATGCCACTCAGTGTGTCAAGTGTGTCATCGATTCTTGGTAAAGGGTAGCTATCCTTCTTGGTTACATCATTCAATCGTCGATAGTCTACGCAAAACCTCGTTGAACCATCTTTCTTCTTGACAAGCACGACAGGTGCTAGAAGAGGGCTCTATCACGTCATTTTTCCTCATATCGTCAATCATTTGTTCAACCTCTTTCTCACGAGCGAATGGTATACGTCTGGGCCTTTGACGAATTGGCATTGTATCACCTGTGTTTATTTTATGCTTCACCAAACCAGTTCGGCCAATATCACCATCGCTTCTTGAAAACACATCAGAGAATCGAAGAAGCTAGCTATCTAGCTTTCATAGTCTCCACTTTTGTCAGACTTTTGTTTTCGTCTAAGATTTTCGTAACAAAGTCTATTCCCGCACTGTCCTTCTTC